GCCCAATCAACAGATTCTCATAGAAATTCAACTAAGCTAATACGGACACTTTCTATGGCCCTCACAGTGTCTTAACAATGGGGTTTAACTGTATACATGTACTGCATAGTAACTCATTATGTACAGCAGTAGCAGTACCTGTTTAGGATCTGCAGTATCAGTGAATGGCACAGCCTCTGATGTCCTAAAATAAGGATGGAAATTACAGTGTGAGGAAAACAAGGAGATCCAAGGCAAGGAGCACCACATTCATTTTTGCATTAGTTTAGAGTTTCACTGCACACTCATCAATTCCCACTAGTCTACTACAAATGCTGTAGTACTGTAGAAATGTTGTGTTATTCAGCTTAAGATGAATTTTTCATTCCCCATACTTATCTAATAAGTTAATTCAAAAAAATATATACATTTAAGATACTTCAAAAGACATTCCTTCCTTGCAACAAACATTTTAAAGTAAAAATAGCTCATTAGATATTAAAACCACTCCTCATTCCCCCAGAAAATCCACCAACTGTAACACTAAATTATTGGTATATTAAATATGAATTTTTTAAAAATAAGACATGATACTGATAAATACCTTTCATGCTCTGTTTGATGATGATGGGACAACACATGCAAATAGTAATGATAATAAAAGGAAATAAATATATATACTAACAAATTTCAAGGTGAAAGAATGGTGGAGTACATAAAAGAGATGACTCAGGTCTCAAAAAAAAAATTAAATCCCAGCTTGTCCTTTGGGCAAGCAGCTGTCGAATTTTACTTACTTGGGGCCAGTTCCTGCTCGTCTTAGTTAACAATTTTGTTTGGGATACTTGCCTGACCCCTTGCCTATTGGGCAAGTATTAGTTTTAAAAATTATTTTACTGGCCCAGCAAGAAAATCTTCAATTGTCAGACTACCAAACAGGACTTTTTTCACATCCTCTGACTTTCAAAGGTGATCATGACCTTTCAATAAACCATTAGTTTCCTGCTTCTCAAAGCGTGGGAAAGTACATTGGGACCAAGCACTTACCACTATTTTTATTATTTTGTTTAAGGACATGTTCCTTCAAGGTGTCTGCAAAACTGGAGGAGATTTCTCTAACATAACTTTTTTCTTTTGGAAACCTCTTATTTATCATACTGAACTGAGATTAAATTATCATTTGAAATTAAAGGGACAACCTTTAAATTTAAGTCACAAAATTTAGATAAAAAGTGATGGGTACATGTAAGTGTGGCAAATATCAGCTCCGACCTTGTGGTTTTTGGCCCTTACTTCTGTACTGGAAAAACTTAAGTCAGAAAGAAATCCTGTGTTGTGCCATTTCTTTGAATAAAAATTTAATATTTACCTGACATTAATAGAAAGCGTTCCTACCTGATCCAACGTGATTGCCTTTTTTGACAGAATTAGTACCTACAGCACAGGGTTGTGAGTTCTGTCTCATTCCTTGAATTTTATTCACCACATTTAAATTTTTGTCATCAGTAAAATGTAGCACAGAGTTTAAAAATCCAGAGAGGCTCCTTGTTCTAGAAGATGAACTGAAGGCAGGATGTGCAGTGCTTGTTGACAAGGAAGATTTTTGTATTGCCTTCCACCTCTTTGCACACTGAAAATAAGAATGGACCAGCAATAGTTAAGAGACTCCTAAAGAATCAATAATGAATGGCTAATTATATATATCATGGGTATAGCTAGGGGGTCCTGTTGTGCCCATGATCCCCCTTTTGTTAAATAATATTGTTTTATGTCCTTATAATTCAGGTGTTGAAAACAAACAAATCCAAGGGATCATTGGCCATAAATCTTGTAAATAGGCTTGTCTCTCCCCATGCTCACTGCCCATCTACAAAAAAAGGTCACTTCAGCGTGCAAAGAAAGTTGTGTCCAATAGCCCCAGGCTAGTGGATTTCGCTATCGAGCTAGTGATTTTTGTTCTTAACTTGCCCAATGGGCAAGTGCTGTTTGTTGGGGAAATTCAAATTACAGAAGGATTGTAATCAATCCTGCTAATCAAAGAGGGTTTTGGGGCTAGTTGAAATGACTTGTGGGCTAGTACATGCCAGCTACAGCTTGCCCGAATGACAGGCTGTAAAACTGACTTTCTTTGCACCCTGCACTTTTAGTACAACATGACATAGATGTCAACATGTCAATCTGATAAGTACCTTGGGTGTGATATAGCTATGCCCCTGAACAAAACCTCTAGTAATCTGTGAGGGTCACAAAATTACCAATTTCCATCTTCACTTAATTAATGATGCTTTTGTATAAATCTTAATCCATGGCACCTCAAGTTTCATATAAATGCAGTGATGCCAACATCTGCAGAGCTGAATCTGGGGACTTCCTGTCTACACTAGCCATTGCTTAGTGCTTGCCCTCATCCACCTTCCCCAACCCCACAAAGTGCTACTAGAAAGAAAACTACAGTATAAATGGATCTGCAAAACAATTTTTGTTCCGAAACTAACGTTAAAATATCAGCCTACATGTGTGGTGCAGAAAAGTTTAAAAGTTCCCCTCACCAGGGAGAAATTCATTGGCCTGTATGGGATACCACAAGATTTTCTTTGCATTTGGGAGACTCCTGAATTATGCTGGCCAGTCAGAAACTCTCACTTTTTATTATACACTTCTGCATTACTATTATTATTATTCAAAAAGAGCCACACTTATTAAAGTGAAAGTACCTAACAGTCGATACTGCTGTAGCCTGCGTTGAAAGGGGAAGGGGAAGGGGGAATTTGGGCGTGCGCGAGAGTGTGTGGGGCGTGCGAGGGGGAAAGGAAAGGAAACTTCCTTTCCCTCTCGCACGCGCCCAAATTCCCCCTTCCCCTTTCAACGCCGGCCATGCAGGCTAATACTGCTCCCTCGAGAAACTCGCCACAACAGCTGGTAAACGATTTTTGGATCATTAACTTTTTTAACGTTGACGGCTATTGGCGGAACATGAGTACTATCGGCAGATCAGCTAGCTTTTCGATGATACATGATGATAGATTTTGATCGATCTGTTACGCCCTGCTTGTATTACAAGTCCACCTTGTAGATGGAAGGCTATTGTAGCTAAGTAACTTGACAATTGACACCTTTTATTCAATAATGTACACGCGAAAATCTCAAACCTGATGAGAAGTAGATCCGGGAACAAGTTTGGCTACTACCTCCCAGTTTTTATTCTCTGCCTCTCTAAAGTCCGGCGAGTTCATCAGAGTTCGCAAGATCAAATCCAAAGCCATATTTTCTGACGACATCCTGATGCTTGTGATGTAGTTTGAAAAGATAAAAGTATTAAAGATCTATTACGATCAAATACTTTCCATAAGCGATGAATCGATATTATCAAGAAGAGCATGGTCCATCTTTGTTACTCAGTAAAATGTAACAAAGCATTATTGATAAATTAGCTTCAAAATTTTTGCGAAGTCAAGAAGTCATATCAGCAGGACGCCATCTTGTATCTAAGCACCATAGAGTTGAGCCCCCGCATAAAAATACAGCGGTTTGAGGACTCTACAAGGTAGTTACTTTATATATGATTCCTATAGTGTACCTTGCGTATTACACTGTATGGGGAATATCGGGCCTAGGGGATATATTGTACCAAAAACCAAAGCAAACAATGTGGGGTGGGTGCGTGTTAGCCGGCGTGCAGACGTCTCCTGTTTTAACGAAGCAAATCGGAGACGTCTGCACGCAGGCTGGGGGCGTGCTGGCACTGCGTGTTTGACTTACTAAACTTAATCAGGCGAGGGGGGTGTGGTCAAAATAGGGCTTAGGAGGAGTGACCTTGATTCGTCGAGCGCCCGTTCTGCTCACTTGTGCTGAATGTTTAAAGGTAATGTTTACACTCATAAATTCCTAAAGCTAATGCTTAAGGAGCCCAAGTCTAGCGTTCAGAAAAAAGTAGAACTGCTATTCCAGAAATCCAGAGGCGTTGTTGGTTAAAGTTTTATTGCATTATAATCATTTACACCGTAAGACACAAATTACGCATGAGCCACGTGATGTGGTAGGCTGTTTGATTTAGCTAAAAGGTAATTCGCTTCCCACGGCACGGACGTACACGAATAACTGTCATTTACAAATATTAAGAGAATGGCAATGAAACCTTTTAAAGTTCAAAAGATTAAGAAGGGCAAACGATGTGACATCAGTCTCTCCATATAAAAGTATGTTCATGCATTTTCCGTCTCATTAACGGTCATTAGCTCATTACCTGCATTGGTCAAGATAACTAACAGAAAAAGAAACAAACAAAGAAGCAAAGAGACCAATTACAAATCTGAAGATGTTTTGATAAGAGCTAGGGACGAGTTCCATTTATTAAGCACGCACCTCTAATTCAGACTCGTGCAATCAGCAAAGCCCCTGTTTGCTTGTTGTTTTTATCGTATTAATAATTAATCAAATAACGGGGTCTGGGCAATTACTCACTGAACATTTTCTACTAAAATAACAACCTGCTTTTTTTACTTTCAATAATATCAGTGAAGCTCAGTATAAATATGGATTTTGCTTAGTTTTAAATGGTCCACCAAACGTTTTGTGCTCTTTTAAAAAAGATCCATCTCATCAAAGCTTTATTGAACCAGAAAATCCTTCTGAGCTTCTGAGATTTTCTGATATTTGCGTGAAACTTGAACTATATATCATTTTCAGTGATTGACGGGCAAAAGAGGCTCAAATGTTGGTGAATTTTGGCAATACCTTAAGTTAATCAATTTCCCCTCACACTGACTGTGATTAGAAAAAAATTATTTTAAGCACAGTCCACTCCTTACATCTTTCATGAGTTAAAAAGACCTGTAAGTTATTTTCTTCGTAGAATATGATTGTGATAGTACCAAGGTAAGATCTCTCTTCTTGTTCTAGAAAAGAGGACATTTGTAACGAAGAAAAAGAAGTTCAGTCAATGAGTTGGTAGGGGCATTGATTAGTGACTAGAAGAGATTATTCAATGCTTTAAGCCAATCTTTCTATTTCAAACTGGTTTTAGGTGTGAATGATATGTTTTCCAGTTTTAAGAGTACATTCATTAAAAAGTTTCTTTTAAAACAATGTCATTAACACCTAATAAACTTCAGTGAAAATAGTTTTTCAGAAAGGAGCATTCGTCATGATGAGAAACAAGACTTTTTTTTCGAATACGCTGACGAATTCAGTTGTAGGGTGTGCTTTATAGTCACGTCACGTTATGCGCGACCTCAGAAGGCTATATCGTAAATTGGTGGGCGGTGTCTTGTTGAAAAGCGAACGTGCCTCATTATTACTCCAAGAAACAATTTACACGGGGCGGAGGCAATTTCAATCCAAAATCATTTTGTTCAGTACCGACCCTGATTGATTCATAAAAACAGAGGATGAATTTTCACGTAATTATTTCGCTGTCTTTGAAATAATCAAACTCTATATTTAGTATGATGCAGGTGTTTTCCTCTTCCCCACTATTGAAAACGGGTTTGTAATTACAACTGGAAAAAGTTACTAAACTGAGAAAGCAGAAAATGTAACCTTATTCTTAAGGCCTTGAACTGTAACACATATAGGTTGAAACAAACTGCTCACACAAAAACATTTTTTCTTCAGTAAATTTTAAAAACACGACGTCTAATTTAAATAATTCATATACTGTTTGAAGTTTTTAATTCCTTGTAGAATGATCGGCAAAGGAAGACGTGATTGCTAAGATTAAAAGATCATTATTTCAGCATGCAATATTGTATATTATTCTAAATATTCCTGGGACGTCTATCGGCATAGTATTGGTTTGTGAACTCATAAGGAGACATATTTCGCGTTCTCATAGAGAACAATTAGTTTCCGTACCCAGCTACAAAGTATTATTTTCGATTATTTGAATTTACTCTTTCTGGGAAGAAAACGCAATTTACAACACAAAGGCGTTAATGGAAATACTTCGAGGAAAACAGGTGTTTTTGAACCTTAAGGTTCCACTAAAGCTCACTTATTGTGTTTAATTTGTCGCGACCCACGCTTAGGGACATTTTAAAAATAAAACACTTTTGGGTCGTAACAACAAACTCAGTTGGACCTTCGTTTCAAACCACTAAGACGAATATGAAAGGTAGGTCTATATAATTTTTCATTTCCTATACTCAAATAATCTATAACTTTAGGAAAATTCGGAAGAGTACTAGAGTCTCGATTTAACTTGAAACTAGATTATTTGTTTTGCAATGAAAATTCTTTTTAAACGTTGTTTACTGTTTCTGCCTTGAACTGAAACATGATCAGTATTTCGTAGCACAATATATTTTTAAATGTTTGTTGAACATTTTAAAAAAGATATTTTCTAATCTCCGCAACAATTAGTAAGTAACTTCAAAAAAATTATTTCGAAATTTAAGTCATTTTTGGAGCGCGCGAATCTTTTCTTGGTGTCAAAAAATCGTTCAGAGGCATTGCATTCAACTTTTGGTTTGCCGCACAATATAAATATGGACAATTTTCATCACAAATTTTAAAGCAGAAAATTAAAGACATTCACTCGAGTTTCGTGCTGTGCTTTTCGTTCAGCATTTTAGTGAACATTTTCGTCATCCTTTTAGGCGATATTTGGGGGTAAAAATGGCTCAGAGATTGTTGCACTATCCAGTTTCTTATTCTATTTGGTCATGGAAACTAAACCCGCTAAAATCGTGTTTCCCGCCGAATCTGATCGGGACAGGATGTGTGTGCGCGCAAGTGATGAAGTGAAGCAAATCATTCTCCCAACACCTAAAATGTAAAGTGCTGTCTTTATCCCGCGCTTGGTATCAATGGTCTATCCCTCATAAGTGAGTCATCTCTTCAACAGAAACTATGGAGCTGTGCCGTCATTTATGCACTGCAAAATGCGTGTATACCAACAAGACAAAATCAGCGCGATTTTCACGTTGATAGCCGGGACTATTAAACAATTCAGCTCAGTTTTCTATGACTTGAATCAAACGATTCAAAAAAACTTTAACCATGGCCAAGCCGGAGAGTCTAACTTTGTTTTCAATGATTAAGAACTGAAAGCTCATCTCCCGGCTGTTAAATATGGTTACGGCTTGTTTTGCTTCGTGTAACCGGCAAGGAAACACAGTACAAAATGGGCAGGGTTAGCTCAACAAAATTTCAGTTATCATAAGAATTTCTGCACGGCATGAAAACCGGCAGGCCATCATAGACAGGACATTCACAATCAGATCTTTCAACCCAGAAAGGTATCTCCTTTAATTATGGATAAGGTGACCGAATTGTTGTTTTGCCTGTTTTGACAATCTGAGAATAAATAATAGTGTTGTCACAGGTTTACCGTCCTGTGTTGCCAGTACTGAACCGCGTGTATGTTGTGTCAGTGAACAGTTTGATTACGAAACGTAGACTGTTGCAGTCTGCCTTTTCTCTTAAAATCCGTCTAGTCCTTATTTCGGCCAGCGCGATTGCAAACCACGACGTTATGTTACAATAAGGGATTGGGACCAGACGCCCTCGCTTGCTTGGCTTTCGTAAATTTGCAAAGAAAAATAAGAGACTGCTCGCAGTCTAACAAAACATGACACTAACGCTGTATTCATCATATCCGAAGCGGGCGTATAATGTAAATCCCAAGATTAAAGCCATGACGAACACTGAACATATAGAAAGTCTCATCCAATAATTCTATATCTTTATTCTAGTTATATCTTATCCGTAATTCGATTGTATATCGTCTTCGCTAAGTGTTTTAAATATTCCCGCAAGTTTCGTGCCCTCTACGGATCTGCATTGAGCCGCCGCTTTTTGTTGCTTTACGTCACTCGTCCAATACTACTCAGGAGCGGATCTAGGGGGAGAGTGCAGGGGGTGCGCACCCCCCCCCCCCCCCCGGATGACCCCCGGTTTTTTAAAAAAAAGGGTTTTTTGGAAAAAAAAAAAAAAAAAAATGGGGTTTTTGGGTTTGGAGTGAGAAAAAAGAAGGGGGCACCCCCCCCCCCAAAAAAACCAGGATCCCCCCCCCTAGGGGGGGGCGCCTAAAGCCGGGTTTTGGTGTGGAGAGGTTTTTTTTTCTATTTTAATTTTGACAAATTTTTTTTTCCAATAATTCTCTTTTTTTTTTTTAATTTTTTTTTATCCCGTATTCGTTTTTTTTTCTGCTTCGCTAAATTTTTTAAAATTTCCCCCCAGTTTCGGCCCCTCCTCGGATCTCCATTGAGCCCCCCCTTTTTTTTGGTTTTCGGCCCCCGTCCAATACCCCCCCGGGGGGGAGCTTGGGGGAGGGGGCCGGGGGTGGCCCCCCCCCCCCCCCCCTGCGGTTTTCTAATACAACTGGTATTCTGAAAAAAAAACTATGTGGTTTATTGGTGTTGAAGTAGAGCAAGAGACGAGTGCACCCCCTCCTAAAAAAAATCGTGGATCTGCCCCTGCTACTTGCTTGTTCCGATTGGTCAAATAGTTTTTATTCACTTAAAAGTCGTAGTCGTTAAGATGTCAAAACTGACTTTCATTATTTCTGATTATTTCTTCCCTACAACTCTTATTATTTATTTACTTACAGGGGTGGTGCTTATCCAAGTGGCTTGCCTGTTATGCTCCTTCTTAGTAATCACTACATCGGCACCTCTAGAGAAAGAGATCCAAACTACAGAAGAAGAGAAATTTGAGGGTATTCCTCCCATAATGACTGCAACACGCCAGCTGATAGAGAGTGAATTGCCCGAGAAAGAAGGGAGAAGCTTTCCAGAGGTTGACGAACTGGCCGAAAGCGAATATCCTGTCGCCGCAAAAGAAGACAGAGAATTCCGAGAAGTTAATGCAGAAGAATTCTTCAGGAGACTTGAAAGGGAACTTGCTACGAAAATGGCAAGGAGAGAGGGTATAAATGAAAAGGGAAACAAGGAGGACAGGGACTTCGAATTAAAGGGAAACGACGAAAAACGTGAGGAGATAGAACTTCCAGCGGAAATGTTTCAAGATGAGCATGATGAAGTCAGCCGAAACTCTCCCAAAGATGAAGACCTCACAACAGCTGATAGAAGTCTTAAAAGAGAGCTTGAAGAAATGCTGGCAAGAGAGATAGCAGAGGAAACTAAGAAGCGCGAACTAGGTGAGGAAGAAGAGGAAGAAGAAGAAAAAGAACTGGTGCTGAGACCGGAGAGAATGTTCAGCAGGGAGGTTCTGGAGAAGAGCGAGAAGATCTTCAACAGGGAAATAAAAACTGCGCTTAAAGAAGACGACAGGCATAATAAACACAGAAGAGATCCCTCTGAAGAAGGGAGAAAGATAGATCCAGAAGAGGAACGTGAAAAACATGAAGAAAATACGGCTCCAAACCAGAAAAGGAAAGAAGAAGAAGAAGAAGAAGAAGAAAGGGCAGCAAGATCGAGGGAACTCAACTTCAGAACAATGCACTCGGGTGAAATAACACCAGAATGGAAAAAACTGGATGAAGGAGTCCGAGCATCAGAAGAGAGAAAGTGGCGCGAACGTGAAGCCGAGAGGGAGAGAGAACGCTTTGACTACCATGGAAACAAGGAGCGTGAACGGGAGGAGTTGAGAGAGAGAAGGCGAGAAGAAGCCCTCGAAAATGGTAAACTGGTTCATGAGAGAGAAATGGAGGGGCGCAAACAGCGTGAGACATTAGGCTCCCATGGAGCAAGACTGGAGGAAAGAGAGAGATTTCGATATAGGGCTCGTGGCAACTAAACAGGGGGATTTTATAATTAAGCAATTTGTTTTATCAATACTCTTATTTATAACTTTGTTCGTAGTCGCTGAAATAATTTTCTCTCCAATTATGATCTAAATTCTTGGCCTACTGAGCAGTATATTACAGTGTTAGAGACTTGGCACGATGCACATATAAACCTGAACAAAGCCCATGAAAAATAAAATCGATCAAATCTTACACGATATTTATTCATTTGTACTCTATTTCATTCTTTCTGAATGAGTCGATACTTAAGTCAACTCTCTCTGAGACCTACACCTTTAGAACCAGCACTAAGTGTCTGTCTTACAGAGATGTCCTTCTTATAGAGAGTCAAATAAAGAGAATGAAGAAAGGCAGGGACCAACTCTAGGCCGTGTCTGTTTTAACAAGGAGTCTGTCAAATAGAGGTTAAGAGAGAGTCGACCGTATCTGAACCCTTGGTACAGGTTAGATTACAGTCTCTCACTTAACGGATACCTCTATAAGTCGGACACCTCGGACGCCTTTACTCTCTTTATTTAACTCTCTATAAGAGAGACATCTCTCTAAGACGGACACTTAGTGCCGATTCCAAAGGCTTCCGTCTTAGAGAGATGTTGACTCACTGTGGTAGGAACTGCAAGAACAGGACAACCAGGAGCGGATCCAGAAAATTAAGAAATTGTGGGGCCTTGACACTTCCCAGCTATATAAAAAATACTTATTTTCCTGGGAATTCTTTAAAGATAATACAACATTTCACAGAAAAAGGTGAGTCCGCGTCCCTTTTGGACCACCCCTGAATGCGCCTTATTAATTCTAACCATCACTACGGCAGTTTTTTTTTTATTTTTTCAAAAAATTCACAGACGCCTTATTTTTCCTTGTTTTAATGTTTGCTAATAACCTACATGCAATTGTAGTTGTACAAGTTTCTTTTATGTTGTTGGCGTTTGATCAGCAAATATGCATGACAAAAAACAACGCCCCTGGCCTCATCAAAATTTCCAGTTATCGGAGCGGCTCACTCAGGTACTGAAAAGCAATAAAAAAAGGTATACTCATTAGAAAAATAGAAAACAGAGCCTGTGAGTGTGCTTCATAGATCTCGAAAGACCTGGAGCAAGAATTCGAAAACTCATGGAACGGGACCTCAGTCATGAATATGACTAACAGTTGTCCACGTGGCCAGTTAGAGAAAACGGCTGAATATTTTCTTTTTTCTAGCGTACATTGCATATTCTGTTTTTCACACTTATCAGATAAGCGTACCTTTTCTTTCAGATCTGTAGGAAAGGAAAATACGTTTGGAAAAGACACAACTAAATCAGTGCCGTTCTATTCTCAGGGTTTTTTTGTACTTACTTTCAAATTTGTAGACCATGTTGTGCCATTCCATTCCTACCAAGTTGTCATAGCAACCCAGAGGATCCGAGCCGTACATGTTATAGGTCTCGTCAGCATCCTCGCCTCCCCAGCACTCGCCCCAATACTGAATCCCAAAATACTGTTGTCCTGAAATAGTTTTAGTCAACAAAATAAACTTTATAACCAGGGTCTTTGACAGTTTTCTATAGTACCAGATGTATTTGTGACAGTGCCGGACATGTCTCTTTTTTCCGCTGCAAGGCGGATTAATAGGGACTTTAAGCAAATCACTACGGCGACTCCTACTACGGCTGCGAATTGCGCATGCTTGGAAATGACCTTTCGTATTAGTGCTAAATCCTACAAAGTGAAGACCTGCCTTGTGGCGCAGTCGCTACTACGTGTGTTTCTCCTTTTTTTGTCCTTTTTCACAATCACTGGTTTTAAAACCTATCATAGATTTTTTTTACACTCTATCAAGAAAATATTGGAAGCTTCCGGTTTTCCAGTAATTACGTCTTTCCTGCCTATCCTCAGTCAAGAGCCATAATAGGACAGGTCCTATTATGATCTCTCTTCTCAGTTTAAAATCTTATCCTCAACCGAGGTCTAATACTGCGTCAAGTCGTACGGCAAATCTAGGTTTTGAGGCTTGTAAGAATCATACAGCAACAAAAACTCCTCGCCACTGATTAATCCTTGATCATAAGAGAGAAAAATAACATCCGGCTTGCTTCTCTAAAAGAGTTTCTTACGACTTACTAACAGCGAAAGCAAGTGAGCGAGAAATGCCGTAGTTATTTACTTAAAGTTGAAATTTGGCGGTTTACTGTGACGCACTCTGGATACTTTGTGTTTTGTGGCGTTTTTAAAGTAATTTGTTAACTTTTTGCAGTGTTTCTGTATTGTAGTCACCATTTAAGTGTGAAAAAATTAATAAAAGTCATTAATAATTACAACAAAAAATCATTGAGACTTACGTCGGTTCATAGCTTCCTCCGCACACTTCCTTACAACTTTCGACAAGTCGAACCAGTCGATGCCGCCGGGAATCGTTCGAAAATTTTTCAGAAGTTGCGGCATAGCTCGATTACGTCCGTCTTTGAAGCATCCGACAGGCCTGAATGTTACTCCTAACAGGAAAAAAAAGTGCGTTTCGTCATTCGGCTGTGGGCAGATATACTTTTTGTACCTGCCTTAATGAAGACGATTGTCCATTCATCTCTCTCCTCCTCAGAGGCTCCCACTTGAAATAATAAGAGGCAACTATACGAAATGATGAGCGCACAGGGAATCAACCCCGGTAGAGACCTCACTCCTCCCTTTCCGTTCCCATCGTCCCCCGCGCGCTTTCTTTTCGCTTCTTCTAAAGGCTCTAGCGACAAACAAATGCTCTTCTGAAGTACAGAGAACAAGCCGGTTATATTCAAGTTTCAAGCACATTTTTGTTGTACGGAAATAAGGAGTGCTCTTTCCTGGTCTTGTAATAGAGTCCATGATGTAAGCATTTCAAACTTCCAAGAGGAAATCCTAGCTAGCAACGTTACCACAAAACACCTCGAAAGTTTTGAAACTAATATTAATCTGTATGTTTGACGGTTGAAGGTAAAAATAAGAGACCCTCATTTTGATGATTTACCTTCAGGGATAGGTTCCTCAGTAGTAGGCGCTTCTGTCGGTTCAGTGGGCTCGACTGGCTCTAAAATGTGAAATAAATGAAGGATAGAGGTCATAGAGGAAAACTCAAATACCTGGATGACAAGGCATCATATAATGACTCAGTGAACAAATAGTGAGCAAATGGGGGTAAAGTGTTAACCCCAAAGAAAGTTCCAGTATGCAAAGCCCAGACCGCTGTCATCTCTGCATCATGGTTATGTGGTTTAGAACTGGGCTAATCAACATTAGAAATGTTTACTCCATGGGGGCTCTAATCTTAAACAATTCCTTGGTACGCAATTTAGAACCTGTACAGTGTGTGACTGTATCACTGACTAAATTGCATGCTAGTTTCTCCGGCTACCAGTAAAAACGCCTGTTATTTAGGCTTGGTTTCCGAATCAGATTCAGAATCGTAACTTATTACTGACAGAACAGCTACTACACACCTCTTTACGTTGCATGTGCCTACTGCTTTTGGTGCCATATCGTTAACTCACCAGCTAAATTTCATTATGCCATGTTAAGTTTAGGATCGAAAACAAGAGGCAGTGAAGTTACCCGCTTTTCCAAATTTAACTTAAAAGCACAAAACAAACCAATAATGCAGAGAGAATTCTCTCATAAGAAGTACTCACCATCTGCGAGCCTTCGGCAGGAGATGAACGGAATCAAGAACACGAAAATCCAAAGTTTCATGATTGATCTTCAGATTTACGACAACGTTAAAGAATAAGCTGCTAGATCTGGGAAAAAGTATTGTTCTGAGACAAGTGCTAATGGAGCAGTATTTTAAAATGAATCATTATGTTCTTGAGATGAAATATAATACTACAAGTGTTGGGAATTATATATGTGTAAGCAGATATATGCATATGCAGGATGCATGATGTTTGTCAAATAAGTCTATTGTAGTGTAATAGCTTTAGCTTCCACGACGGTATCTTATAGTTCAGCTGTTTAGAGAGCACCATGGACTAGTAGTTCTTGTTCCCCTTTTTGATGTTATAGAGTACATAAATGTAGATCAGTCAATTATGTGTAATTTTCTTTTCCATTTCCACAACTGGAAATTGAAATTGAAGTTACAAGTGACACCGAATAACTTCACTGATACAAAATTAAATTGTATTAAGACAAAGAAGTTTTGCCACGGAGCAAAAGTAAATATAAGAACTGTGTAATATTTGCATAATAATATTTGTATGAAAATGCAAACAACTGTTATGTAACTAGCGAGTTATCCGTACAGGCTCTTTTTAATTGCAACAAAAACGAGAAAAAAGATATTTTTATTTAAGACGAACCAACATCCTGGCCTTTTTAGGGCACACCACGGATTTTATTAGCCATCTCACAACGATCCACAAATCAAAACAGAGTGCCAAGGTGCCGAGGAAGATCTGATTGCTTTGATTTGTTTCAGCACACTTTGAATAAATATACTTTTTTAAAATTCCCTAATTGTACACTATCTTTTTCACCTGAAAAAGATGGAAACGAAGATTGCGGAAATTAGGCTTAATTAGTGAAATCTACTCCTCCATTTAACAGATTAGTGTAGTTTCCTGCATTAATTACCGGAAGGTCTTGAAATATATAAAACAATCCAATTCAAATAAACAGATAAATGGTCATATTTGGGAGTAGCTTAAGGCTCGACACACTTTCATGGGTAAAGGAAGAAAATTGAAAGCCCAGGAAGTGCGAGTGTCGAATGTTGGCGGCAAAAATGGAATAAATTTTTTGGACAGGAAGATAGAGTCATAGAGAAGAAATTTGATGCTTGAATAACAGAGTCACTTCCATTGTCAAGCTATTGGCGATTAAAAGTTCTAACTGCCTGGGAAAAATCATAAGGCCTTTTAAAAGGGGTTGAAGGACATAATGGGATTGCTCTGCGATTTTAGTTCCGGGCTTCCCTTACTTCAATGCGTTCTATCTCATCATAATCGTTCCAGGTCCAGAAGAAACTGAGTAATACTAAGTCTGCCGGACTGAAAGAGAACGGAGACTGTAGTTCATGAAATCTAGGTCTTGAAAAAGAGAAGTTCTTAAATTCTTTAAACTTATACCTCCTCAGAGCTATAAAAAAAAATATGTTGTTTGAAGAATGTCGCCGAAAAATGAGCCCATTGTGTCTCAGCTGCGATAGATAATCGGTCGGTTTCTAATGGAAGAGTGGAAGAAGAGGAGTCGGCTTTCGTGACTTCACACTAGAGGCATACTACTTTATTTTGTGGGAACAGTGCTTGTCAATAATCCTGCAATGGAAGTAAGAGGCGGAAAAAAATTTAGAATGCACCCTCACGTTTATTATAATTTTTTTCCCAAATAACCTTATACCAACTTTCTTGGACAGATATTCAAGCAAAAAGATTCCCGGCCATGGTCGTAATGAAAATATAACATCACGCTGCTTAGGGTATGTTCACACTCCGGGGGAAGGGGGGGGTGGGGTGGGGGAGGAATCAAGGAATCCGGAATCCAAGTTCCACTGACAAGAATCTGGAACCTAGTGACTGGAAGGGATCCGGAATCCGCGGCGTGGAATCCAGAATCCAAGACTATCTCGGATTCTCTTACATGGGGCGACTGTTTGGTCTTCCTCAATTCTGGGTGAAGATTGATAGAACTCTTCGTAGTGGGAGACGAAGTCGACGCCGTCTTCGGTTTCCCGCGGAGGTTACTTCCTCTTGATAGGCTAATGGGATATGCCGTGGGATGGAGTCGCATTTTCAGGACGGGATTGACTATCGTGTGCATTTTCAATAGCGTTACTAGAATGTAGCCTTGACCCCCACTTGTGTACCAGGTATAAGTAGGGATATATAAAAATGATTCCATTTATTTCAGGATAACTTAGTACCCCCGGGTGGTTTGAGCGCAACCTTGCACTTTTTTGTAGTCTAGCCCGAGTAGTTAGAACATACGACACGTAGTGACCAGTTATAATCTTTCTTACTTGTAATGCTCGTCCTTTAGTTTCAATGGGGAGTAGAAAGACAGTGACTATGCCCAGAATGGAAAAACCGCTGTACAAACTAAGTGATAACAGGATTGATTGTGGCATGAGAACCTGTGAAAACAACGTGATAAAAAAATGGTGATTTGAGCACTGTTCACGTCGGATAAAATACTTGGCGAGAAAAGACAAGATAAAGGAGGAAATTGGAAGTGGAATACTTAAATTTTATGGTCTCTTGAGCGAGTCATGATGAAACACAATGTTATACTCATAATATACCATGTTTTTCATCAGTACTTTACGAAATGACGTTTCCTTTTTTTCCATGAGCAGAAAATTTTATTATCTAATTGTTCTACTCACCATGGCAACAAAAGGGGTTATCATACATCCTATCCTCGCTGCACCGGAGCACGCTCCCAAGCCGATTCCGCGCATGCTCGTGGGATACACCTCCGGGGTGTATACATAGCCGCACATATCAGCTATGCTTATGAAGAGACGAGCTCCATATAAAAACATAGTAGTCGATAAACGGCTAATGAAAAATTGTGAAGAAAAACAATTTCAGGTACTGTCAGCTGGTCAGTGAATGGCTACTGCAACTGTACGATCTCTTACTGGGGCCCGAAAAACTCACTGCTCGCGGCTTCGCAGCTGGCACACTCGCATATCACGTGCTCTCACGGATTTTCGAGCAACGTAAAAGAGAGAACAGTGCGGTGCGTCCTCTCTTTTACGTCGCTCGAAAATCCGTGAGAGCACGTGATATGCGAGTGTGCAAAATGCGAAGCCGCGAACAGTGAGTGTTCCTCTGCTGCTTCGGGGAATGGCACTGAGCTACTTTGCTTAATAATCCAGCCTTTTGTTTGAGTCTAATTTAGTAAATATACGGCAGAATTTTCCAGCAGCATGTTGGAGCGAATTCTGTGTTTTGATTGGTCGCTTTGGTCTGGCAAGAAAAAGTGGTCTTTTTGTGCATATAATGAATCATTTATTGTTAGCTTGTTTGGTCTCAGATGGCAGGATATTGGCCTCTTTCTTTTAAGCGTTTTTTTTTTCACCACGACTTCTTCTCGGTCATATAAGAACGCAAGAAAGGACTTGGCGCATATTACATGGAAGAGTTATACAAATCGGATAAGGGTAATTGCCCATGATGAATACTCGACTAATGCCTAATGCACTGTAAAAATCCTCGCCACCACTTCGGGTTCAGTGAAACAGGTTTGAATTCAACTGTGAGGTAGTTTCAGGCTTATTGCAAACATTTCATAAATTTCTTTCTCTTCTTGATCGTTTTTACAACTCTGACGTGTTCTCCTGTCATGATATAAAAACAGAAGAAGTCTGTTGCATTTTTTTTATCTTAAATATTCCACGCAGTTCTCTCTGGTTCGTGGCGAGAAAGGAAACCCACGATAAAACAGAATTAAAACTGACTCACCTTCTGGTGCAAATAAACAAGGCTGTTAGAAAAACAGCGCTCCCTACGAAGGCTACAAGTTGAACCATTTTTCTACCTATTTTGTCCACCATGAAAAATATAAACACTAATCCTGAGGGAAAAAAAATATAATCAGTCTAGTTAGAATAACTATAAAATACATCAAGTTAAGCCCAGATTATTCCCCTGAGACTGAATGAGTACTGTATCTCTAGTGATTTCGCGCGATTGGCATCTGCGGCACTCAGTCACTCTTGGGTTTTATTATTGAGGAGAGACAGATTTGGTCTTTGTCTAGACTGCCTAGCTGGGGGATCAGAGTGCGGCAGGATTCGCGCCACTCGTGGCCAGTGCCGGAGACGCGTGAATCAAAAACTGTGAACAAAACCACCCGTAAAATGAGCCAGTCGAGTTTGAGTTTCACCCGTGGATACACATAATGCTTTTGTCTTTGAGACAAGTTTAAGAGTGGGACGAGGAAAAAGAAAGAAATAGAAACCTCAGAGTTATAGAACAAAGAGAAATGTGAAAAACCTAATTCTTTTTATTACAACAAGGAAATTCTTCCAAAACTTTTGGAGGGAATAGTTCTTTTGATCTATGACCTTGTAATTGAAGATGAAAACATCTGGAACCATGAGACAGTAGATAACTTTGTGGAAAACTCTTTATCTGAGCCCGGACTATCATGCACTACTTTGTTCAAAACAGGTGGAAAAAAGTCATTACCTAAGAGATCGCCAGACATAACAATCAAGTAATTCGCATAGTCTTCATAATCTAACTGTTTACAAGGACTGGACCCTTGTGGTAAGTCATCTTTATCGCTTGGAGAATCGACCCCACCAGGATTGATACCTGAAAAATACAGTATTACAACCAAGCTTTAGCTAAAGGCATCAATCGGAGAGGCGTCGATCTGCCAAATTTACTGCTGTTGCAACTTTGCTTGAAATTTGTAATGTCATAAATGCATAAAAGCGGTAAAGAATAGGCATGGGCTAGTTTTCTATGAGTCAAGGGCGGGGAATGCGGTCCCAAATTATTATCTAATCTTAAACAAATCTCCCTAAACTGATCTGTCTTTTAGAGTCTTATTTTTGTTCACAAAAGCTCTCAGAGTTCTTTAACCGGTTAGTAGGCATTATTTATAATGCTGACAAGTCTGCTACCGGTCCCGGCCTCTTTCTCAATTTTCCTGGATGCGCCCCTCACAAAGACCCATTCACGAGAGACTGTGTTCCAGAAAAAGAACAGAAGTACGAAGATCGTGTTCAGTTGTCGATTTATTGCCCTTGAACATCTCGAATGAGTGAAGTCTTACGTGAAAACTTAGCTTCAATTTTCGGCAAAAGAATAATATTTGACGATTTTATCTGAAAATCACTGCTGTTGAATTAAACAGCGCTCTTTAATTAAAGTGAGGGAATGGTTGAAAGGTATTTGCATCTATTGCTCATCCTAAGTTGTAGAATTGTCTGGAATCAAAAAAATCCGGTATCATCACTGCAGTTTCCACCACATTTTGGGAATTTCATGTCCATGGCGGGCGGGAGGCGATAAGAAGCTACTAACAATTGTACATCATGTTGCGAATCGTGGATACTTACCTCTACAAGGGTCAACTCTTGAAAACATCTCTGTCGTTATAAGCGCTATTCCATAGATTACAAAATGACTACTGAACCTGCGTAGAGGACAGTCATGGCTCTGATTAGCTATTCTTTAATCGCTATCTTTTTGGGGTATTATGCTTAAAAGTCGTTGTAAACTAAGGGCTCACCAAATGATCCATAGCAAAATAGTAGTTCTTCGGAATTCTGGAGAAAATAGATCTGCTATCCTGCCTAGTTGAACCTAACAATGTATGGTACAAATGACCAACGTTATTTTTAGAAATACTCATTAAGTCCTAGTTTTTTTAAAGTTAGTTTACTAAAAGAAAGTAACTGAACACGACCGAGCTAACAACTGGCCTGTTTTTCTTTTCTGCTGATAAAGTCACGTCGACAATCTGCTAGATCAAAACGTCAAACTTATCATCGTCACAAATGAATGAAAAAGAACCTTTTTAGATAAACAATTGAAACAGCGTATTTGAATACTATGTATCTTTTAAACCTAATTGTCTTTGGTATTGTTTGATAATCGAAAAATCAAATTCATTTTAAAAGAGCATAACGGAGATGTAGACGGAAGACAAAAACAGCAAAAAGCAGACGGGATTGATAAGTTAATGATGGTTTTTTGTATTTTTCAGTAGTGTCAGAGTGATTTCGTTTCAAAAGCCGAAATAAGATAACGATGTCCAATCAGCCTCAGAGCTCAGAAGTTGCTTGAAAGTATCTCAGTGGCACCACTGATTTGGCCGGATCAGGAACACCCGGGTCGATGATGGTGAAGAACAACAACTGCATGAAAAGATGAGAACGATGAAGATGAGAATGACGATGACGACTGAAGTCCGTGATAGTATCTCATGTCCTCTAGTTGCGACAGAGCCGGTGATTACAAAGGGGCAAAGGAAATTGAGGGAAGTGTCTCGTCCGATACTTCATACCTTGTGTTTTTCGGACCGACCTTGCGATAAACATGTGATACAATAAGGGAAGCCGGAATAAAGGAACATACAGGGAAGAGTAGTCTATAGCCATGTAATTTCGCTTAGAGACAGTACATACCAAAGCAAAGAAAATGAGCATGATAAGTCGGAAATACCTCGTGCTTTTCAGTGGCCACCAGTTCTCCTGGAGGAAGTTCTTGTTTGTTCTCTTTCGCTATTCTTTGCAAAATACGCAGAGCTTTCTCTGGCTTACCTACGGTCATGAGAAAACGAGGTGACTCTGGCACAAACTGTAAAAGTGAACAAACAAAATGGGCAATGAAATGAATACATTCATGTGAGTTTAGTCTAGATGACTTTTGAGAAAAATTCGTACTGAAGCAACATCAGAACGAATACGCTTTTGCTGTTGAAATGTTGGTATAACGGCGCCCTGGCCATACATTGTGTCGTACTAGGTCGAATACAAGAAAGTATAAATTTGAAATTGTTACCGGTTGCTTTTATACTGGGTAGATGTATCGACGAGGCCCCAGTTGTTCAAAGGGTGAATAACTCCGTCTACCAAATCGATCTCTATCCACTGGATAGCCGGTGCAATTGGTTTTCTTGATACTTTTCCACTGGAGTGATTTAATCGGTGGGTAGCGCTATCCAGCTTTTGAACAACTGGGACTGATATCCTTTAACTCATGTGCAATGGGGGCGGAGGAGATCGAAAGCAAGTGCTGTAAGTAACCGATCTCCTTTCATAAGCGCATTGTACTCTAGCTGAATAGTGTGTTCAATTTAAGTAATATTTTGCACTTCTCACCTTAGAACAACAAAGGAAAAGAAGTAAAGGAATGGCGGAAATAAAAAACAACCATCTCCAACCCAATGTAGGCATCACCACAAGTGCAATGGAAATCTCTATACAGGACCCAAGTGACCAAGATAACTGCAAAGAATAATACAGAGTGCTCACAATGTCCAGTTAGTTTTCGTCTTATCTTGTGATGGGAGTGGGTGGGGGGGGGGGGGGGGGTAAAAAACAAACAGAAACAAAACAATAAAAAACAAAACAAGAAAAAAAAAAAAAATAAAAATAATGATATATCAAGAAGGTGTGTGTGTTTGGGTGGTGGTTGTTGGGGGGGGGGGGGGGGGGGGGGGGGGGGGGGGGGGGGGGGGGGGGGGAAGGGGGCGGTTATAACACCTTAAGTCATACGTAACTGTTAACATCTTGCGTACGTTAAATTAAAGAGTTGACTGGACGTTAGCGCTTACTTCTGACGTAAAGATTTATGCAACTAATCCCTGAAATCAGTTCGGAGTACAAAATCTTACTAGTGTTGTTAGTAAGCAAAATTCCTTGATTTTATACAAAAAATTAAATCGTTTTGATTCGATTTTGATAGTGGTCTCATCAACGAATTGTCAAGTGATCTCATGTGAACATATGAACAAGGGTGGGAGATTCACGCGAACATATGAACACAGATGGTTTGGTAAGCCGAGATCCGGCAAGGATTGTGAGGTAAAAAGACCAAAACTGATTTACCCCACTCTGTATGCACCATATCTAATTTATCCCAGTTGTACTTGTTATCACTAAACTTACCGAAAGGGCGTTAAGCATAACTCCTCGTCGTCTGCTTGGTAGGAATTCAGCCCATAGATTCATACTGAAAGGTACATGTAACAAGGCAGGGGACTGCTGTTAGTGGTCAGGAGCCTCAATTCTTAACAACAGATATCTATGCGCTTTTTTGCACAGAACCAAATCACCGAGATGAGACGCTCTGTATACCCTCTGCTTCTCGTAACTGTATTATTTCGAATGATTGGATAACGAAAAAAAATGTTTTTTTTTTCCTGGATATAATGATTAAGTAAACTAATGAACGAGTCTGTCGATTCAGTCTGTTGCCCGCCTGTCGGTTGTTCATTCAGTCGGTCGGTCGTTCAGTCAGCTAGTCAGACATTTCAGTTCATTCATTTAGTTTGTCAACTAGTAGGCTAGTCAGCCAGCCAGTCAGACAGTTAGCCAGCAAACTAGCCAGCCTGTATTTACCGGTAATGCAGGCAGGCAGGCAGGCAGCCTGCAGCCAATATGTCAGTCGGTCAGCCGGCCAGAAAGCCAGTCGGGTAGCCAACAAACAAGCCAGCCTGTATTTAATGCAGGTAGGCAGCCCTCAGCCTTTCTGTCGGTCAGTCAGGCAGTCAGTCAGTCAGTCAGTCAGTCAGTCAGTCAGTCAGTCAGGCAGTCAATCAATCAGTCAGTCACTTCCTCAGTTGTATTATCTCACCATTGAGCTACTCCTCCCATCCCTAAGCCCACCACTGTACTAAACACCATGATCCAGAAATAATTTGCCGCAAATGTACTCAGTACAGCGCCAGTAAAAACCACCACAGTACAAGCAAGGATTTCCTAGATAAAGCAAAAAACATTCACTTGATTGATAATCGATCTATCCGATGTAACACTGAAGAGTCAATCCAATTTTAAGACCAATTTTGACACATGATCTTGGCTCCGTGGCTTGAGAGAATTAATCAGAGGAATGTACCATTCATCTCTGTGACTCAAGGTGCATGATTTTTTAAATTCCTATAAAGATCTATAAATCACGGAGACAGTTATGAAAATTGATGTACCGAATTTCTCATTCTACTGTATTTACACGTGGTAAGATTTTCAACGGAATAAGAAAATTTGATGATAATCAAATGACAGAATACCCAAAATTTCAACATGTAAATCAAAGGGGAAATAAGATCAACAAACTAATATGCAGAGTAGATATATAATCGATAGATAATTTACCTTCTTTCGTCCAAAGTTATCCGAGACATATCCCCAAATACATGTACTTATTGTCATCCCTGAGAATACAGCCTGAGATATTAAAGTAAATTGGAGTAACCTGAGAAAACAGCCGACATTTTGCGACGCCGTTGCTGGTTTCCCCGCAAAATAACGTCTGAGAAACCAGCGCAGAAATTCCATACTGATGATGCGTCACTACGCAGATCTGGGTAGTAGTGTTTCTGATTGGTTGAAAATTTGCTTCAACCAATAGAAGCACCACCCAAAAGCTTTAATAATTCAAGTAATCCTGTCTTTCTTTCATTCTTTCCCTTCCTTTTATACCGTTCTTTTCTGTTCAATAGTTATATCAATGTGGTCTAGTTTGCTGCGTGTATGCTTAACCTGAATATCAGGCTTAGGATAGACTGAGCTAGAGAACTGAGACCTCCGATGCTCAGATTACTATACTACTGTGGGCTTTAGTCAGGTCTTACCGTAGTTATAGTTGCTTCTTGCCATGTTTCTAATTGCCATTCACATCGAATAGCAGGACATACAATCGCCAAAATCGTCACTTCCATGGAGTCGGCCATCTGAGCAACAGCAAATAAGTAAGAAAGATCAACCCTTCTTGATACAAGACACGGCATTAAAATAATTATTGACATTATTTATATCATGCTTTCGAGACCAGACATAAAACGAAAAGCGAACGGGAAAGTAGAGATTGGATTAGTGACAAGGCAAACACCTGTGTTGTTTAACGAGAATGTAATTTAAGGTGACTGGATCGTCGGTGTAAACAGCAACCCGGTTCCCAGGGTCCTTTGCTGTTCAAAAACCTCATCATCGAGAAACTTACACTTGTTAAAATCAGAGAACGATATTGAAGAAGAGGCTGAATAAGGTTGTCTTTTTTGCCTCACAACCTTGCTTCTGGGGTTATCTGTTTTTTTTTTCAATATTGCGACGGCAAGAGAGAAGTCTTCAACACCCAAGGTCTGCTCGTTTTTCCGGAGGCGACATATCAGAGAACTAGGGGACCTGGAGAAGAGTTCCCTTCGAATGTCGTCAGTGCGTCCCTGTTTATTATGTTATTGTACGGTTGCCGTCGATCGTAAAATAATAGCAAACAGCTTCCAAACTTGATCAACGCAGGCTGACCATAGCTGGTTATGAAAACGCACCCAGGGAATTTAAGCATTTTTTGAATGACTAATGAACAGCAGTTAAAGATATTTAAAGTCTCTTTCGGTTCAAGCAGTTCAAAGTGTCTCTTACACGCCAGTTTGGAGTTTATTAGTCCTAAACATTACTCCCACGCTAGAACGTGATATCTTATGTGGATGCAGAAAAGCATGTGTAGAATATTTATTCTTTTTTTCTGCTGATAACAGTTGATGATGATTGGGTTGTGGTGAGACGTATTCCTCTGAAGGAATGCGCTGTAGTTCAGTAAAACTTTCAGGCTTACCCAAGCCAGGCCGACAACGAACATAAGTTTCATTTGAAAAGGTCCATAACCAAGTTTGTCTATCGCATCTTCAACAGTGTAAGTAGCTTTTCCTCCTAAAAACACATAACATAAGAATTTAAAATGATTCCTTTGCTATAATTATTACAAGGAATGGAACCCCGAACGCCAGGTTTTCTAGTCCCCGTTTCCTTCCGGATTTCCCTTGGTGCAATGCGCTCCGTTGTACCAAAACGGACTTTCATTTACCAAGGAATGGCGAAGCATTAGGATTCTTTTCAAGGAAGTTGACTGGCTGTGCTGATTGCTTCCTAAATAAATTTTGTTTGTAGTTTTTCAGTTCGTGCAAAACCCCACTTACACGAGCACTGAACACATTCTAGGTTGCTGTGCGTGGATCCTCGAGAGGCTTGTTCTTTGACGCCATGTTGTTTGAAGTTAAATTTAATGTCACTTTGTGTGTTTGTTTCGCTGAAGATTTGAGATATCTGGTGGCAATTTTTAAGAGAGCACAGCTGAGAGCAGTTACTCTTGATAAACCCCTTTCCCATGAAATCCTTTGCTCGCTATACACTACACACACTGCCGATTAAATCGCCGGGAAAACCCCACGAGGAACGTGTTGATGCACGCTTACTCGGCCACGAATGGTTTGTTTCCTGACTCCATATTGTTTATAACTAAAACCTCTCTAGAGCACTCACCCTGTCCTGCTGAATCTTGGGATAAAGATGTGCTGTCTTCTTCGCCTAATTTCTTATGGTCTTGTGCTTCCATATCAGAGAGATTTCACCAAGAGTTTAGCAAAGGCGAGTAATCTTGGCAGTTTCCTCTAACTGGTAAAAATCACACGCCCGCGAAATGATTCAGCAGCCCCCTTATAATTTGACTAAAAAAAATCTTTTACTTATTGAAGCCGTCATTAACAGGCTGTCCATTTCCTTTCGATAAATTGTTATAGGAAAATAGTTAAATCGGGATTTAGGGTTGATCTCTTCGCAAAGTATAGTAAAATTTCTAGAGCAGGTACCGGTATGTTTTTGCTGCTACTGAACAAGCCATGCATAATTGACGCTGTATAATATTCTTAAACTAGTTTTAAATCGGATTACTCAGTACTAGTACTCTCAAGTATGATCGGAGGGTCTATGTACCAGTGGTTATAAGTTTGAACTGTACTTGGACCACAATCACTTAATAAAGTGCAGCGATCTAACCTGCTGTGGAAAATATTTGGAAACCATGGGATAGACTTAAAAAACTTTGAAGAAAGAGCAGAAGAACTGAAGTCCAATAAGTGATTGCAAAGATCGCTGCGATCATTTAATAACAAGAGATCATAATTTCTATGGTAGGTTCGTCGTTGAATTAGGACAATTTAATCAAATCAAAGTCCCTCCACATCGTCCTTCCAATTAGACCGCCATTTTTTTCATTTGTTGACCCCGCCTCGCTTTGGCGCACTGAGTCATAAGAGCGAGTCTTCCGGAAGTCAACCAGTTAACCGGAAACTGTTTCCACATGGTCCGCATAGTTCTAAAAATAACTCTTTTGACATAAAGATATCCCGAAGTCACGACTGGGAGACTCCCTCTCTGTCCTATTATGATCTCTTGTTTAAAAGTTGCGATTCTATACTGTATTACTGCCCGCCCATGGAGCGTTTTTTTCAAATTTTTCTGTCGACAGTAAATTCTACGGGTGTAAATTGTGTGCCATTGGTATCCGTACTTAGAGCGATTTTCGTATGACCTTGAAATGAAAACGCGCGAACAAAACAGAAACAACAAACAAACGGAGATAGAGCGATTTGATTGTTTTATCGAACGGATACAAACGCGCCTTGCTTTTGGTTGGTTAAGCGGACGCTCGGTTGAAAAAACTTCGTGCCCGAGAACTCTCTAGAAATCAACCAATACTTTGCTTTGACGTCATATTGCAACACGATTGGCCAATCGAACAATGCCTTCTCCATCTTAGGGTTTTCTTTGGCGGGAAAACGAACTGGTTATGTTTTGATCTTTTCATCTATAACGAACACTTACCGAAACCATTTTTCAAGGTCATACGAAATTGCTCTATACTATGGAACGCCGTTACTATCTTTTAATCCTAGCGGTTGACTTAGCCTGCGGAGCAGACTCACTTGGGTGAGTTAGGGGAAAGTTTCGCCACCAAAATGTTTCCCGCGACCTCGCACAAGTGGCAAGCCTTCTCGCGGGCTATGGGTAACTAATTGTATTACGTTTAAAGAGTTAATTATCCCTTAGCACCTAAAAGGACATAGACCTCATGATCAGTAAAAACTAGCTGAAATTGGTGAAGTAGCTGAAATACTACAGTAGCTTGATTCTGAAATTGCCCTAGAATTTTAATGAAGTCGCTGAAAGTCTGTAATACTTAACACTCATTACACTTATTTGACGTTAGTTTACCCAGCTTTTCTCCTTCGGCTGGATTTGTTTGTAGCACAAATAACATTTCGCACGGGCATACCAGGCAACGTGTGTCAGAAAGCCATTATAATAATTTTATCGCCTAAGGAAATAATAGTTCTTCAGAGGCAAATATACGGAGCCATTTCTCGACCATATAAAGAGTCTCAAATGTATTGTTACCCTCCAGTTTTTTAAAATTTAAAAGAAGAGATTTTTTAATTAGTGATAAATATAATTGTGATCTTCTCAGCTGTGTTGATTGTTTGCCAAAGAAGGATAAACAGACTGCAAAAATAACTGGTAGATACGTATGTGTCTGCTGATACAATATCTGGTACAAACCACCTAACGTCCGCTATACTGAATACGCCGAGAGTTATCCTACGTCTACTGGGTAAAGAGACTCGGGAGTAGGAGGCAAGGGTATGGATATGATTTCCTATTTTTTCAAGTTTTGTACTCATGCAAGTAACATGTGATTATGTCTTCAATATTTCAGTAAAGCAGTTTTCAAGATACTTACAAAAAAATGATGCTCTCAAACGGCTTCCTCCAGGTTGTTGCTAACTGTTTTTTCAGTGTGTCGGGTTTGTACTGAAATGACTTTTAAGGGTGATAAAAATTAGTTGTGTTAAAAGGGTGGTCGTTTTGGCTGCCGTCCTCTGTCGAACTAAAGGGTCTAGGCGTTTTATATTGGTGCATAATAAACACAGAGCCAAAACATTTTTTAAAGTTGTTATTCGTTTTTTGTAGCATTATTATGTAATTATGACCTAAATACAGCAAGGAAAACCCTTGTAAGACTGCTTATCTAAAATGCCTTTGTTGGAAATTTCAGTGGAAGCTGTAATCAACTTTTTTCAAAGATGGTTTCAAGTCACCTGATTTTTTTGTTCCTCTTGGTGTGGAAAATTGCAAACCGTAAGTACTTTTCTCAAGACTAAAGGCCGTCGAAAGGAATTATTCACCCCTGGTTGCATTGATCTTATAACAACTCAGTGCCAAGTTTCATTTTTAAAGCAATTTTAGTTAACCCGGGTAGTTAAGTAGTTATTGAAAATTCAGTCGAACCTCCCTTAAGCAACCGCCCAAAATGCGAAGATTAGCTAAGATTTAGTGGTCGCTTACCTTTAGACTGATAGGTGGTTTGTTTTCCGAGTAGAGTTCCTAACACTTAAACTTTTTAGAAAAGGCCATGCTGGCGTGGAGTTCCTAAGCCCATATCAGCAACAAGCATTAAACTTCATAAACAGGTCTAGAAAGACCGCTACACAATTGAATAAAAAATTCAGTCTTCCTTTGCGAACTGTATTCGCCGTAGGTTTCTGATTTCTCAGTTTCTTGCAACTGAAGCTTTGGGCAAGAAAACCCTTGCAGATAGGAGATAGTCCGTCGGCAGTTTTCCTCTATTTGTGCGTCAACTTTCACAAATGTGTTAGCATTGCATTTTAAGGTTAAATTTGACAAGCTATTTGAATGTGCAGCGAGTTCTACGGTCACGATTGACTTCAAACTTGCAGATATAAAACAAGAGAGCTCTGAGGCTTATTTGCTGAAGTTAGAGAAAAATCTGTCTTAGGGTTTCGAAATTACTGACATTTTTTGTATAAATGCGGTTTTAAACATATACCGATCGATATCTCAAACGTTTTAATGCTTGCAAGAATAAAAATAACAGTTTCTTAAAGTTCGACCATTCTTTATTAGGGATGCCAAAAATCATAGAAATCGGTTAAATCTTTCCTGCCGAAAAACGCGATTCAAAAACATAACCAACGCGCATATAAATAGGTTCGGGCCACCTTAAATACCCGGGGGTTCCGGGAGGGGGGGGGGGGGGGGAAAAAAGG